CTTGATGACTAACAACATGTGAAAAAACTGAAAATGCTCTAGCCACTATGACAGTTAGCAAGAGAAATGTTTCAGATAAACCCAAAAACTCTAAAGTTAAAGTATCTTGCTATATTTGCCGAAAGAAAGATCACCTTGCACGTGATTGTCGAAAGAAAAAGGTCAGGAAATACGAAAATAGAAGTCCTGAATCGAATCTAGGAGAAATTTCATCTACTGCATTCGTTGTAGATGATAACTTCAGTTATCCTTTTGAAGACCTTTGGATAATACTTTTGAATCTATAAACGATTCCAATGCTGTTGTACTGGGTAATAATCAAATACTAATTGTGAAAGGAAAAGGTACAATCAAAATCCAAAAGCTAATTAATGGAAGATGGCATGAATCGACAATGAACGATGTTTTATTTATTTATTTATACCTGATCTTAGAAAGAGTGTATTTTCCGAAGGAGTTATAGCAGCAAAAAGAATGAAGATCATAAAGCAAGGAAATGAAGCTGAAGTATACTTCGAAAATAAACTAGTTGCGTGTACTGTTCGAGAGTCCAACAATTTGTATCGGATGCTGTTTCGAACCATTGTAAACCAAATTAATAATGTTGAACAAGATAGTCTCAAAGTATGGCATGAACGTCTAGCACACATACTTAAACATAAAATCACTGAAAGATATAGCTTCGAAAGAATTAGTGACAGGAGTTAAATTCGGTGACACTGATAATTTTTTCTGTGAAGGTTGTGTATATGGAAAACACCAAAAATTACCTTTCATGAAGAAATCTGACAGGAAAATGAAACCAGGTGAATTAGTTCTCAGTGATTTATGTGGACCAATGGAAACACCTTCTGTACAAGGATCAAAATATTTTGTATCCTTCAAAGACGATTTTTTTAGATACAGAGTAGTGTATTTTATCAAACATAAATCCGATGTTCTTGATTGTTTTAAAACATTCTACAGACTATCTAAGAATAAATTTGGATACCCCATTAAGATACTTCGTGTATACAATGGAACTGATTATTGTAACAAAGACTTCCGAAGTTACATAAGGCAACAAGGAATATAAATGGAGAACACAGCTCCATATACCCCGCAGCAGAATAGAAGGGCAGAACGTGACAATAGAACAATAGTATAAAGTGCACGATCTATGTTACATGGAGCTGGTGTGCCAAAATATCTCTGGGATGAAGCAGTTAATGTTGCTGTTTATATTTTGAATCGTACTCCAATTACCCAAGTTGTCAATTCCACTGCTTATGAGCTCTGGATAGGTAAGAAACCGAACCTGCCTTATGCCAAAATATTTGGAAGTGAAGCGTATGTTCATGTTCCTGACGTTAAAATATCAAAATTAGATCCAAAAAGTAGAAAACTCATTTTTGTCGGATATGAAGGCAACTCCACTAATTATAGACTATCCGACCCTGTAAGCAAAAAGATAACTGTTTCTAGAAATGTAATTTTCAATGAAAGTGTTGAAGGTTTTGTGCACCAAGAAAATATGATTCCAATTTCCATAAAAAACGATGACGATGTGACATGTTGGCCAAAAGTTTGTGAAAGTGGGAATTTAGATTTTGAAAATATCGAACAAGAAACTTCAAATCAACGTCCAGTTAGAACTAAAAGATTTACCCAAAATCTTGAAGATTTTGAACTGAACTATGTCGACGTAGATGTTCCAAACACGTAATAATAAAGTTAATACACCCAACACAAATATTCTCTTGGAAAAGAAAAAATGTGGACAATTTATGATAAAAAAGAATATGAGTGATGGTGATTTTAGTAATTTCTTCCGAATGAATCGACACCAATTTGCAGAAGTGTATGGGAGGATCCAACGAGGCATTGACTCAAAGGTATGTCATGCCGATAACCTATTCCTGCTGAGGAAATGCTGTGTAATACAAAGCTTTTGGCGACATGTAAAAGAATTGTCACGAAAAACTGTGTCTCAACCACTGTGCCACACGAGTCACGTGTCACGCTAGTCGCGCCACCTCGTGTCCGGGCGCCAACTTGCGCTTTTCTATTGGTTTTCATGGGTTACAAAAGATCGCGCTGTCACCCCATACGCTTCCAATTTACGTCTAGCCTGATGGATTATGGTGACATGGCTTCGTTTTGGCGCCTTTTAATGCTATGTGCCAGTTTTTTGGTAGATATGTTCTCTCTTCCTTTCTGTTGACGTTCTCATGGTGTTTGTGTATTTCTATGGTTACCGAATACATGATTTGACGTTACTAACTTCTAGGTATTTATGAGAAGGAATTTGTGTTCCCCGTCGGGGAGTGCATGTTCAGCGACTGCAAACTTCTCGGTCTGTCCCAACCGGCAACTGTGCTTGTGCTCGACTAAGCGGGTACCAATGCTTCTTTTCGTCTGACCGATATAAAGTTTACCACAGTTACATGGAATCCTGTAAACTTCCACTGATTTGAGTGGATCTATGCTGTCTTTTGCTGATTTCAGATACTCCGTTATATCCTTCGTTAGTTTGAAAACGGTGTTGATTTTCTAATTCTTAAGAATTTTCCCGATTCGGTTGGTGACACCTTCTACGTATGGCAGATAGATAGTGCCTTGCGGTTGATCTTCACTGGTGTTTTTCTTCCTTTCCCTTGGACGCGTAGCGCGGATTATGTCTTTTCTGTCGTAGCGATTCGCTTGTAACACAGTTGTTGGGTGTTTTATTTCGTCGTAGACGTACCTTTTTTACATATTCTCATAGCTCTGTTCACTAGGGTGTTGATGACGGTTCGTTTCTGTTTTGGATGATGGTTGGATCCATTATGTAAGTATCGACATGTAAGTGTTTTCTTCTTGTACACCTTATGGCCTAGTTGATTACTTTTCTTGATGACTGAAACATCAAGGAGTGGGATTTGGAGGTTTTCTTCTAATTCCATGGCGAACTGAATTTTTGAATGAAAGCTATTCAGATGATTTAGGAAGTTCTGAAGTTCTACTTTTCCAAGGCTCCAAACAACGAACGTGTCACCTACATACCACAACCAGTGCTTCGGTCGTTTTTCTGAAGTTTGAATGGCCCTTTCTTCAAATTTCTCCATGTAGAAATTCGTCACTACTGAGTTAAGTGGACTGCCCATGATGACTCCATCAATTTGTTCATGAAAGGTTTCATTCCACTGAAAATAAGTTGTTGTTTCGACATTTACTAACAGCAAACGAAGGGGCCAAAACGAAGCCATGTCACCCTAATCGCGAACCCGCCATTACGGAAAGTGCGCGAAAAATCTGCACTATAAATGACATATGGCAGAAATGAGAGTTTCACTCTCAGTTGATACGTGAAAATTATAAAGATAGGTTTTCGTAAGATTTTATTCTATCTACCCAAGCTCGCTATCAACCCCGGTTCGTTTTCAGTAAAGCGATGCCTTTTACTATTTGTATCAATTTTCAAAACAACACTTCCTTCTTTTTACCACGGGAGCGTAATCGTCTTCCACTACAATTCCACCTAATGATTAACTCAACACAAAAACTGAGCTTCACACATGAATAAGGCAGTAAATGACCAGCGAGATGAAATAAAGAAACCAGATCCAAAGATAGGGCAAACAAAACCACATGTGAAACCATTGAACACGCCTTATTAAATGCGTCAAAATTTCTGACAACGATTGGGCTGTCATCTATATACCCCTCAAGGAAACAAAACATGGACAGCAGCACCTTCACGGATGTATACGGAAGTTTGAAGGAATAGGTGGGGAGGCCTGGACTACCAATTTAAATGTTTACTGCTTTTATTTGTAGTTGTCTCTGTTATTAGGTTAACACGGTGGATCACGGATCATTTTTACCAATCATCAATTCATATACCGATAACTCCGCAATGGGTTATCCAAATTTAAAACGGTGAAGGTTGTTGTATAGAGAATTGAAATACCTATTTATTTGACACAAAGTTGATAGGCCACTCTCTGTGACGAGTAAAGTCACACCATTGGCTTATTTTTTATCAAAAATTACTAAAGCTGATTCCTTTTCATACACATTTTGTCCGACCATAATATCTTGCCCCATTGAAAAGTTAAGAGGGGTGGCACTTTTTACGTCCACCCTGTATTTTCTGATTATTTTGATAATTTCAACAAATATATCGAATGTGTGTCAGTCTCAAATATTTACATTGAGAATTGATGAAAGAGCCCGTCATTCAAAAATACAGGCGGCAAATAATTTTACCAGTACATATATTTGTTTTTATTTCAAGTTGCCACATTCATCTGTTCTAGGCAATATCTAAACCTCAAACGAATATTTGCACGAATTTTCACGAATGGCGGCCAAACTATTCATTCACTGTAGGTATTATTGTCTGATGTGCCCAAAATTCACACTATCATTCAGAAGTGTGAATTTCATTAGTTTCAAATACCAAAACCTATGAGTGTACGGGGATGACCTCAAGAAATATTCAGTTTTTTCGATGATCAACAAGAATAGAAGGTGAATATCAGAGTTTTATTTTTAATACTTTTCCATGTTTTGCTCATATCAGCTATCTAGTTAAAAAATTGTAAGTTTGTTTTTAGAGATCTACGACGGCGCTAAAGGGTCACATAGTATTTTTATTTTATAGTCGTCAGTACAAGCTATATTCAACAGTTGAAACAGTTGAAACTGTTGAATATAGCTATCGATAGTTCGAATTATGGGTTACAGGTTATCGACAGTACATACTGTAGATTACATGTTATCGACAGTTTAAACTGTCGATTATAGGTAATCGACGACAGTTTGAATTGTTGATTATAGCTAATCGACAAATTGAACAATGTATTATGAGTAATCGATAGTTCAAACTGTTCAAATTAAATTCTTTTTTATTTGTGAGGAAGTGCCTTAGAGATCAAGATTCTTTTCGCTACATCAACTCGACAAATATCGCGGAATGTACACAATATACAAGACTGAAACAAAAATAGTGTCATGCAAAGCAAGCGGAATGGTACCAGTAATAGATCTGTGTCGGCGGTGCTAGGCTCGCGGGGTCTCTTCTTGCCTATCTCAAGGGCGGCGGCTGCGGTGGTAGCCTGGGGGGCCAGCAATGGCGAAACGGCAGCGGGCTATTAGTAGAGCAGCGATTTTCAAGGCCAAGCACATCCGCACCAACGGGAAAAAATAAAACAAACCAGCACTAAATTAATTCCTGTTCGAAAACAGACAATAATGCGGGTACTGATTTTGAAATAATGGTTTTAGTGCTGCGGATACTGCCTCTGTATTATACAGCTGTACAGTGAAGCGAGAATACTTACTGCCTCTTTGTTGGTAAAAGTGAATGTTTTTGAACTACAAAGATCAAAAGCCAGATATTATTGTAGATAATCTTTTAACGAACAGAATACTTTCAAGAGTTCACTACCCCAATTCAAATAATATTCAGAATATCGAAATAATATGAATATTGATCTTTTCGGTCCTGTCATCACGAAGGTGATCCTCTTGCTCAATAATTGACTTTTGTAAATCTATTTTTGCCTCGTGATTCTGTTCTATAAAAATGACATCTATTGTAATCATTGTGGATTGTGGTAGATTAAATTACTGGAATGCACTCACCGGTGGTGGTCGTATAGTTTCCATTGGTTGGTTTAATGACCTGCTTGATGTGCAGTTAAGGACAAGTAGCAAAATATAATTTATTTCATTTCCCTTCTTCATTTCGACTGAAATTATTTCTGTGTCTTTACATTCATATCGCCTCCCTGTATATTCTTCGGAAGAAATCATGTGAGTGCCTTCTTTGATCATGTACTTCTTTTTGAGGTTCCAGTTTAGACCAACCAGCAGCTATAGCTCTATGAGGTCCTCAGCTAATCTTGATCTCTGATTGTTGGCTTGAATACTGGTTTCATGTTTGTACCGAAATGGCAGCCCGTTAAGTCCGATGATGGTTGGTAAACTTCTTTATTGAAAAAATTTAAACGCCGGGGTTTATAGCAGGTGCCGTGAAACCATTATATCGGTTAAGTTATGTTAATGATACGTTCGTCGTATTGCAGTATGGCGAAGACCTAAATTCCCTTAATCCAAAAAAAAAAAACAACTCACAATGGAAGGAAGAACCCAAGAAACTTGCCTTCTTGGATGTACTGGTGGACAGACTTGAAGATCGGCTATTGGATCAGCCAGGACAAAATATATTGATAAATAAAACGTTCGTTGAGAGAGCCTGACGCATCTGTGAACCTGAGAGTCTCTTCGAGGAACTTAATCACCTATAAAATGTCTGCAAAGGAAATGAGTATAGCGAAGTGTATAGGGCTTTCAACCTGTCAATGGAGCTTTACATTCTTATCTGCTCTAATAATTTTTTCAAGGCTAGGTGATTGGCCAAATTGATTAGTTTTTTGATATCAATCCCATCCGGATTTCTGAACACAAGGGAAATAATCGGACAAACCGACAAATCATATGTAACCCAACATGCACTCAAAGAAGGCACTTACTTCATCTTGATCTCAGAAACATTAATAATTGATAACACCCAGAATTACTATCGCAGAGTATATAGACACATTTCAATAATGTATGTAGTATCTGCTTTGGTGACCAATAGAGTATCTCGTCCGTTGCCTAATCGCCTTTGATATCTACCGCAGTCGTAAACGAAACGTCAGACATAAAACTTGCAGTCCATGACCAACAAACCAGTTATCTTTGGCCTTGAAAATATACACTTTTCAATCAATTGATTCAATGTTGTTATCATGCAGTCCAATATAATGTTCCCAATTCCATTTCACAGTTGTTGTACATATCAGCTATCAAATTTTTTCTTGGTTTGACGTTTAAGGTTTCAAGCTACGTTTTTCATTGGCAGGAACTATTTCTATTTTCATCGACTTCTTGTGTGATGTGGATTTATTCCTTCTCACGGGTATTGGTGACCTGTCGCCCATCCTTGGAAAGCTACCGTTTCTTCTCCATGGGCTGTTGTTCTTTTATATCACAGCTTCCTCCATTATACCTCTGTATTTGATGGATTCCTTCTTGGATGTGTCCCACAGTTCATATGAGGAATGTCCTGTTCGTAACAAGGCTTTTTGAAAATATTATGATTCCATGCGATTAGTTCAATTTAGAAACATTTCATAAGAGCTTGTCGATTACCTACTTCAACATTTTTCTTCGGAGATCACCCTTCCGGAAGTATTGTCAACAATACTGCGTTTAATCTGTTGGGACTTGGGAATAGTTCAGAATAGTTTTACGATAGAACTGGTGTCGCAATCTTCTGCATTTTATCTTAGGATGGTCTTCTTGCTGCCGGTAAGTTTGTTCTCATTAAAAAAATACGTACTCTGGTCGATGTGGTCTGACTAGTTGGTCATGTGTGTGAACTCAAGTTTCTTGTCTTTCTATTTTCACTAGCCTCACTCATCTCAGACATTTTTGGTGTCATCTATAACATGAAAGATTTCACCTTGCTCTTGTGTCAGTCTTCCTGGACGTTTTGTTAGCCTCCACTAATTTCACTAGGAAGTTCTCCTTCTCTGAAGGTTGTCTTCTTATTTTCTTCGTCTTTCTTGTTCTTTTTTATTTCCTTCTTTTCCTTTCTTGTTCAAATATCCTAAATTCTTTTTTTATTTCCATTTTCCACGTTCTTCTTTTCATCTCTTCTTGTTTTTTGCATTCCATTCTTTTCACTTCTTGTCGCTCGAGCAACTTCTCATGGGTTTCTTTTGTTTTCATTCATTGCTATCTTATCGATGTTTCTGCTATCTCATAATCATTTGGTCATCTATTCACCACACCAAATCCGCTTCATTCTTCTTCTTCATAGGATACCACTTATTCCATCACTGCTACCAATTTGACGCCTCTATTTTTTAATTATTCATAAATACAAGCTGAATCACTTATACTTCAATATCATTTTATAATTATTTCACTAGTTTTCCATTGCTGCCGTCTGGACTCGATTAATCATCGAAACATTCGTCTGAGAACTCGTCGTCGCCTCCAGCACATTCGTTTCCCGATGACTTTTCTGAGCTTCGTTAAATTCCTTCATGACGATTCATCGCTTTCTATTTCTTTCGCTTTCTTTCTGTCTCTTGATCATGGCTATCGACTATGAATATGAAGAAGTACTGATTCAAAAGGATGATTTCGACATAGCTAATTTGAACTAATTTCGAAATAGCTCAGTTGACATTCTAATATTATTCCTAATAAATTTACCAATTTTAATTCAAATTTTGTGATTGATTTCATCTTGACTTTGAGTTTTCAATGACTCCATGGGTTGTAGAGTTAAGTTCAGAAGATTTCAGTGAGATACAAGGTATTCTTGAAAAGTAAAATTTTTTGAAAGACAAACGAAATGGTTTCTTTTTGTTATGATTAATCAAATTTCATTACTTAAAGGATTCGAAACATGAATATCTGGCCTTTGGGAAAAATATAAATGAAAAATTAAATTATATTATCAGCAAAGAGACAATGTATCTAAAGCAGTTCTTAATTAAGCATAACTATTTGAAGGCATCTGTTGATATATTTTGAAAATGGGTATTATAAATATCATCAGTTCTGAAGAAAATTTAGTATAAGTATCTACTCGTATTATAACACAGTTGCATGAAACTTCATTATTTTATAATGAAGTGAATTCAATCTATGCAATTTCTATTATTTTTAATCATGAATTTGTAATGTGAGCTTCAATAAGTTTTTAATTTCACCTGAAACAAAGTTTTGAAAAAATCCACATACTTTTGTTGAGAAGTTTTCAGTGGATCTGAAAAATAATGAATGCATCATATAAGTATTGAAAACTAAAATGAGGTCATTTGATAAATGATTTTCTTTAAATAAACGAATTTCGATTTAAAAGTTTCCTAACCAGTTGTGCTCTTTGCCAAATGAAACTAGAACATACGACATTCGTTCATAAGATTCTAACGAGGACAAATGCCATCTAGAATTGTAATATATGTTTTATAAAATTTCACCAAAGATCTATGCGGATCCTTTCATAGAATTCTCGAATAATACGATCTTTTGCTATTGGAAAACTGTAATGAAACTTTGAAAAGAATTTCTGTAATAATGATGCCATATTTCATAATGTCAAAACAGATACATGCAATCTGTCATATATCACGGCAAATGACATTACAATATACAAAACACCGAAAGCTTCACATCTAGAAAATAATGTTTACTAACATAATTACAAAATATACACTTCAATTACAGCTGGTAATCCAAACTCGTAAAAATTGTTAAAATAAATCGTACCTGAAAAATAACCTCAAATAAAAACATCAACAAACTTGACGTAATGATGAGCAGTCAACTGCTAACAAGCCCAACCATATTTTTTGAATGAATTTTTATTTGTATATTTGTTTTGTGAATTTGTGTTTTTGTATATTGATTCTGAATATTATATGAAAACTAGTTCAATTTTCCATCAGACGCAATCCAAATACTCTTACACAAGAAAGGGATGATGGTATTTGACGTTTCATAAAGCCAATCAGGACTTGTTGCTTTTACATTCAATATTTGCATAAATCGATTAGTCTTCCATGAAAGTTCGAAGAGAAACATCCACAAAATAGCCCTTTGATGTCCTTGGAAAGTAAATAGTGGAATGAACATATAATTAACAAGAGAAAGTTTCACACCTTGTTTCGGGATTATGATAAAATTTAGTTGCAAAGTTGCACAAAGTTGTTTCAAATTGTCTACTTGATGCAGATGTGCAAATCAGAAAATATCAATATCTCTCATAAAATCATAAAATTTAAAGGGGACGCCCGCACAGTCAGTTGGAACGTCTCCTTGAAGAAAGTGTGTATTACTTTTCAATATACTTCTTTCTTTCATCAATTTATATGTTCAATTCATTTTTACTGTCCTGAAGAAGCTTCTCACAGAAATAATTGTAGAATCGAGTCGTGCAATCGGTCGTGAGAAGATGACACTTTAGGAAATATTGCAGTGAGGGGCTAGTGTTTGAATATATTCCAATGACCAAGGGAAGGTGAGATAGCGGAGGGGCTTGTTGGCAGAGCGCAGCTATTCATGCTAAAGGACACGTCACTGTGGAAGGGATGAGCTACATAAATTAAAACAAAAAAAATAAGTGATTCAAAACTTTTCATCATTTCAACTGTCATGACATTTCATGAAACATCATTAAATTAAAATTCAATATAAATCTATAAAGGGGGTAATTATTGTTTGGCATCCAACAGTAGAGAACATAGATGCATTTTACTGCTTCAGAAATAGGAGCCATACAAAACATTCTATAAGCTCGAGAAATGGAACACACATGGAAGTTGTTTCATGAACTGACTTGTTTCTTGACTCCATCAGGTTTAATGATTATTTTTTTCGTTCATAAAACAACAACCTAGTCGAAAGAGAAAAAAATAATCACTAGCTCAACTTCGATTTGATTCAGTTAGTGAAAGAAAACACAAATCAACACAAATGGGCAGTTAGCTTGCAAAATAATAAACGTTGCCAATTTCGAAATCAAAGACATTCCCAGTACGGATTTTGGGACTCTGCGAAAGAGAGTTTTTTTATTGTTTTATTATCGTTACACACTTTATGTTGTCGAATTTTTCAACAGTGGTTTTTTATTCATGGACTGCTCATACAAATTTTTCAGTGTTGCGTTTCTCAATTAAGTTGCATCAGCATGAGATGATGTGAATATGTATTTTAGAATCTGAATTGTAGAATTTGAAGCTTGGATCATCATTTTCTAAAATGACTCAAATCATCTTTGAAATAAATTACAGAGGGAAAGCAAAAATTTCAATCTTATCGAATTTTTGAAAGAGACAATATATTCTGAAGAATACATTATTATCTTGACTTTTTCTTAGATTATCATCGAAATTATCAGTAAAAATAAATTTCATGAGATTAGAGCATAATTTATTTATATTTATTCAAATTGTAGATACATTTCTTTCACGAAATTTTAATTATGGAAACAATATAAGAAATGGAAATTTCAATTGTTGGTGAGAGTCATCTAAGTTTCAAGTATATTTCTGAGTCTGTTGTCTTGAAGTATTATTGTTATACACTGCTTCTCAGAAGTAACGAATAAATTCCATAAAATCTTACAAAAATATTTTCATTTTAAAATTGCCATTCAGGTTTCAATTACCCATCCCTTCAAAGTCAAAATTCGGTTACTTCAACTTTTTAAATTTCAGTGGCAAAGTACCCATTGTACTTGCATTGATTGTACTGGCAAAGTACTTCAATTGATTTATTTTTTATATCGAATATAACAAAAAAAAATATCGAAATCAGTTGACAAATGGGGAAGATATTCACCAGAATGTACTCTAATAATGAACTTACAAAACAACATTTATGCAAATTAAAAAAATGTCATGAAAATTAATTGAATCCAATATTTGAATTGTTTTCCATTTACGGCGAGACAATGCCCTATTATTAAAAAAGTTTTATTGGGGCAATCCAGGTGATTTCTTACTTAATAAAATTCGAACCTCATTATACGTCCGACTTCTATTGTTTCAGTCCACTTTTCATTTTTTAGTAAATTGTGAAAGAAGAAAGATAGGTTATAAACAATTTGAAATTGTTTCTACGACAGCATCTACTCAAATATTGGCAAAACCCTTTGGTTGGATGGTTTTGAGATTTCAAATTTGGCATTTATATTGAATAAAAAACATTCAGTATCTATTTTTTCAAAAAAAAGTCAGATGAATCAAGGCTTCTTTGTTATATTATCAAAAAGGCTATGAAAATAGTTCAAATTTCAAGTGAAAGCAAATATCCACGTTCTTCTAGAGAGATATTAGCAAAATGACAATTTATCAAATATTGCTACTTTTCATTCTGTTAGATTCACAATTTTACTATTTTACTTTCAACAATAGTCATTCTTTTCATATAAGAGAATAGTTTTGATTATAAATCGCTTAGAAGAAAATGAAGGCTTACTAAATATTCATATTCGGATTTGGTGCCAGTGAGTGAAAATTGCATCCAATGTTCTTATAGAATTTATTCGTTGCTCTTGAGAAGTACTAAATTCATCTGAATTGTATTTTCGTTCTGCTTGACAAGGACATACATATAACAAGCTTTCTGTCCCTTTATTGCACTTTCAGGCATTCTCTGAGTAGGTAGTGTTTAGTTGAGAGTTATGGTGATTCACATGTCTGGTCACATTATGTACTGCTTCCTAGGTTTCGTTAGCACTAGGACTTCCGAAGAGAAGTCAGTGATTCAGTAAAAACGTTTCCATTGATTCTACATTTATCATACCGGTTACAATTGAAGATCTAAGAGACTCAAAAACGAACTGTGAAGGAAAGTTGATATTCCGAAACTGGCAACTCAAAAAAACGAAAATTCGTAAAAACCATACGAACAGTCGGGGAAAAAATATAAAAATAGCGAGCGTGCGCACTAAGATTGCGTAGCATACCGCGCTAGCCCGCGACTGTGCGGCCTTGATTTGGGCTTGGAGGTGCAGAGGGGGGTGGAAATAGCGGCAGGGGTCGCGGTTGCAGCGGCCCTTGACTGCATCCATGCAGACAGTGACAGTACCGTCCTCGTTGGCAGTCACAGAGTCAGCGGGATGCGCAAAGCGACATTCTGACTCTGCTCGCTTGCACGCTCCGCGCTGGTATTCACGGCACACCTACAGCAGATTATCCCGCCATAAAATCAGCGCAAGCCGCCGCTGCATTTTGTTTTTGACACTGCGACACCTTCTAGTCGAGCACCCTTGGGTCACGCCACAGCGTGGCTTAAAATGAATCACCTAATTTCGACACCATTGATATCTGACGATTGCAAGTTTCTAGATTTGTTGTATAACTTGATTAATACCATTCAACACCAAGGCAAGCTCAGTCAAAACAGAAACACGCTTTATAAAAGTTGAATTTTCAACTTCCCGCTAAGAAAATGAAAAAATAAAAAATGGGAAGCGTGCGAAAATCGACGCGATCAATAGATAGTGTCGTTTAAAAATTTCCATTCAAGTGATTTCGTCAAATGATTTTTAAAATTTTGAGCTCAAAATAGCAATAAGTTGTAAGGATGACCTGCAGGGTTAACCGTTTTTCGGATATCTTTTCGTATTTTATTTATCTTTAACTCAAGGGTACAATTTACAAATCAGACATTGAAAAAAGTATTTCCACTGAAATGTTCGATCAAATAAAAACGTAAAAGTTGCTGACCCGTCAAAATTTGGATATTTTTCTTTATTGTGAGGGCCCCTCTCCTCTGGAGACCCCGGGGCAGTAGCCTGCCCTCCCCTAAATCCGGTCCTGTCTACTCTTGTTACTTCTTGATAGGCCTGAATCATTCTTTCACTGGAAATAATTGCGATATTGTTACCAATTAGTTATGAATACAAGACAATTCTCGAATTCCTGACGAAAACAATAAAAAATAACAAGAAAGATGATATTTGGTTATCGTACATTGAAAAAAGTATTTCCACTGAAATGTTCGATCAAATAAAAAATTGATAGTAAATGAAAACTTGCAATCAGGGCTTTCTGATATATCGATAACAATATTATTATGTTTGTGCAAGTATTCTCAGTAAAAATGTAAAAAAATGTTTGGGGGGAAAAACGTAAAAATTGCTGACCCGTCAAAATTTGGATATTTTTCTATCTTTATTGTGAGGGCCCCTCTCCTCTGGAGACCCCGGGGCAGTAGCCTGCCCTCCCCTAAATCCGGCCCTGTCTACTCTTGTTACTTCCTGATAAGCCTGAATCATCCTTTCACTGGAAATAGTTGCGATATTGTTACCAATTAGTTATGAATACAAGACAATTCTTGAATTCCTGACGAAAACAATAAAAAATAACAAGAAAGATGATATTTGGTTATCGTGATGAATAAAAAGTTAAAAGAAGACAGGAAAATTACGTTTGGATGAATGAGAAGAAGAGCCTTGGAAGTTTGAAAGGAACCATTTAGCTGAAGAGCCAAGATTAAAAATATGCACTGTTCGGTATAAGTGAACAGGACGGGAACACTTGAAAAAATTAAATAATCAACTCAATTCCAAATTGTCATGAAAATCATCTCGAAGAAAACCCTCTAAAGCTGAGAAAAACAAATGAAACAGCTGGAAACTTCGGAAGTCCCGAAAATATGGTATGGCCTACAAAGTTACTAGATTTGAGAGCAGACACCAATATTGTGCTGATATTGAAGAGCACATACGAGTAATTTTTTGGACGAATTGGATTGTAGACCATAATGTATGCCTTTTTGGAACATTATTATATGATAGATATCTTTCTAACTGGAACATTCAGTTCTGAATGCTTTAAACGCAGGCAAAAGAAACAATGTATTTGTTTTCACAATGTAATATATAAAAGTGAATGTTGGTTGGTTGGTTGGTAAGTGATAAACTTCTACATCGCTCAACCGATCGTGATAAAACTTGATATGTATGAGGAATTTTTCATAGAGAAGGTTTTTAGTCTATCAATTTTTCTGTAACTCGCTACTAGATGGCGCTGTAGAACACTTTTTTGAAAGCACTGTTCTATAACGCTGCGCACGCCTAAGTTCGTTGATTCTGATTCTGTCAAAACATTGAAACAGCAGCGATACAGCAACATAGTACTAGTAATTGTATAAAGTTATATACTCAATAATGTTTTCATTAAAAACGATTCTGAAATTCTGTTCATAAATTCTGTTATCTACCCATCTGCGGATCAGACAATGCCATCGGTGAGATGAATCTTCACCTAAAGTTATTCCTCGCAAATCTTGAAATAACAAAATCAGATATCAACAATGTATATTCACATTATATTTGTATTAGCTAAGTGAATACCTTTCAAACGATTGACAAATGAATACAAAACACAGGTTTTTTTTCAGATGCTCGTCTAGATTTCGCAGTGTCTAAAAACTTACGGAAACAGAGCCTACACAGTTGAATGATCATTTCTTTTGCTTACTTTCTTGGCCATTTATAATATTGCCTGGAGAGGTTTTGCACAGATTTCTGGAAGTAAATAAAAAATACCCTTAAAATATTCTTAAAGTATTCATTCACTACACACGTCATTCACGGCACACTGTTTCATCAGGGTCAATAAAGGATTATTCTGTGAAATCACGATTTTTAATTTTGATGATATTTTAACGTTGATTCAGATTTGGGTATGATATATCTTTTTGGAAAACAAGTTCCACTCACGAGCTGAGAATATTGAAATATTGTCTCCACCGAAAATTGTTGGTAAAAAAAATGTTCAAAAGGAACAACTAATTGAAATTGGCTCTTATATATTACAACCATTTATATATCTCTGTACATGTAATGTACATGTACATGTAATGTACATAGTACATTATTGGAAAAAATCGCAAATTATAATGAATGGGAAAACAATGTTTTTGGGGAAAGCAAATGATCAATGGCCAAGGGTTGCTGAGTGCATATAGGGAAAAAGCTGTAAAATGAACTGAATGATCATCCAACAAGTTAATAACCTTCTATCGAAAAAAGCGAGACACTTGCGACTGTAAAAAGACAAAGGGAACTAAAACTACACAGATAAAAGTCAACCGGTAAAAATAGCACACCGTGCAAAGTCAAAAATCAATCGATAGAAAGTTACAAGTGCTCGAAAAAGGTAATAATAGAAAACAAATAGTTGGTTTGTATATACAGCAATTTATCTAAAGATTCTATAGGTTAGGGCATCATTTTCAGAACATCTAGTCTTTTACATGTGAAGTTACATGGTGAATACGTTTGAACTAACCTACTCAATTATTAGAAATACTTCTCAATGAAATAGATTTGTGTTGTAGACACGAGTTTCTGAATTTCTGAATTTTTCGATTCCTGAAAAAAAAAATTTTTGGTGATCGATATCGTTGTTTCCTAACACTATTCTCAAATACTTATTGTCAAATGGCAATTCACATATTTAACAATGAGACTTATGAATTTGATGAGGCATTAAAGAATAAATTCTTGTATTTGAGCTAGATAGTTAATATTTGTTACCCCCTTTCGTAGTCCCTAAAATCAATCGGCATACCCTAAACATCCCTCATTAGTAGTATCTCGACCAGAGGACCCGTAATAACTCAAGTTAGTCGATAGTTACTACATACTCCTAAAAGAACGTGAAGCCCACAGAAGTCCTAAATGAGTTATCATGTGAAGAATTTCATTCTAGTTCTACTATGACATGTAGCAAACAACTCATTTATCTATTTCGTCAATGACTATTCATATGAGATCGTCATTTCTTCAAATTAAATTTTGTGAATCAAGGGGATTTTTCAATTTTTGTTTCAGCTAACCACACGTGCAGTGAATCTGGACAAACGCTATTAAAAAATAACGCTTCGCCGTCGTGGTGTTTTTATATGAAATGGATATATCTATAAAGCCGATATTTTCTTATTCAATATCTACTATGACTGCATCTAGTCATTCGTAATTTCGGTAAAAATTACCGCCATCTTCAGAGACTGATATTGATATGATTATATTTCACTAAAACTATTGTCCTAAAATTAATGAGAATATAAACTGATACTTTGCACGTTTTTCTAAGAATTATTTGAATGAAAAAATTAATCAAATGATACTATATCATGTTTCGAAGATGCCTTGGTATTGAGTGATTTTTTGGAGTTAATAATACCTTTCAGAATACATTTTCCCAATATTGCCGTTATCTATTTGTTTCATTGAAAGAAAAAATACATATTAAACAAGTTTGATGCTACATACATTGAGTTGGTGTCAAAAGACGATATTTAGAATAACAAATTTTTGCGAAAATTTTTCCTTTTTCAAAAATATACTAATAGAATATCAGATAGTTTTTCTGTCACATGAAGTGTAACCTAAATAACTCAAATCAATCAAGTATAAACTCGATTTCCTTTGTATTATATAAGCACTTGATTACGAAATAATTTCTATATCAAAAACTGGAATACATACATGGCAGGTTAGTTCAAAGTATGGTTAACAAAAAGGAAGAGTGAAAATGATTCCTTAACCAGTTCTATCATATCTGTGGGGAGTATTCGAAAAAACAAACAAAAACATATTTACACACGGGAAACTGAACTACAACTATATTTGCTAGATTAGCATGATTTGTGTATGAAAAGTGTTAGTATATAATTTGTTATTTACCTTAGAACTACGAAAGTTCCAAGCATTAATAAACCCAAATAACCTGCGAAAATAAAATAAAAACAAAATATAAAAAAGAGAGAGATAAGAAGTAGTGAAACAAGTTTTGAAATATTCCAATGAAAAAATATATAAGTAGGGAATGGAGTTGAAAATTTGTACTAAGAGCTGCCAAATTATTTCAAGTAAGGTAAAATAGAAATAGAAGATGAAGCATGCAAAGCTATAGCCTAATAGCAAATAAGGTAAAAAAATCTACTGCTAGTACTTAGAATGCAACTGTTTAAAAGTATCAATACAATTACGACATACGAGAATTTATTAAACCCATAATTTTTGAAAATTTCAGAATTTAATGATGAAATATAAATTCATGAATTTGTTGATTCTTTAAAACAATGGTTATGAATCAAAAGATGTTGAGAGATTACATACGCAAAAATGTGTTAGTTTTGATATATTTTTTTAATTTATCTAATAGACAAGAAATGAAACCCCCACCCACATCATTGTTATTTTCTGCAAATCTATGATATGCGATGGTTGCATGTAATCAATAATTTACAAAAAACCCTATACCCCATGTATCAGAAACTCAAAACGAAGCGGAATAAAATGAAAAGCGTTAAGTGAGGATTCAAGGGTCATTTTTACCATAAGTGCGTACTGCTCTTCAATTGTCATGGACAGGTGGGGGAAGAAGGTCAAGGGTAGGCTGTCTATTGGCGAATCCACCTCCAATACAAAACCAGTAATAATTAGTACAACACCACAAATTGAAAAATAAAATGAATAAGAAAGGCCAGCACCAAATATCATGCACGGCGTGATGCGCTCACAAAATATTCTAAAACAGCACATATATTTTGTCGTGCCACACGTGCAAGTGCTTCTTCGGCGTACCGAAAGAACTGAGAACAAATATATTTAAATTCATTTTACACCAGATAATTTCTTCGAAAAGAACTGAGAACAAATATATTTAAATTCATTTTACACCAGATAATTTCGAAGTAATTGTCTCTAAAAGAACGTGAAGCCCACAGAAGTCCTAAATTTTTTTTTGATATGGTAACTTAGAATTCCAGCTAAGAGTTAGACATCTTGAATTTATATATAATAACATTATACAAATACAAAAATTAACTCCCTTTTTTTAGCCAGTTTTGGAATCTTCCTAAAGAGAGCCTAGCAAATGAACGTGGTACAGACAAAAGTTCTGTTGGATCATAAACAAGAATTTGGTAATCTCTCTGTTGGGAAATGTTCTTATAGCCATTGTGGGTTGACATCTGGTATAATTAGCAGGTTTTCCAGGTGGATTACTATTTAATAGAATGAGAATCGACTTCTCATTTCGGATGTGATATCGTGTGATATGAATGAAATATTAGAAAGCACTCCCATAAAGAAAGATTATTGAAATGGTTAATTGGATTGTGAACCCTTCAAACTACTTATCATACTCATCTTATGGTAATTCGGATTCGTGAGGTAACTGTTGAAAACAAACATTTTTCTTTTACAAAATATGAAGTTCAATGTACGGTATATATTCTTCCAATGAGGAACTTGGATTCTTCCTGTTCTGAAATACGAAATGTAGTTTTCTCTAATATTTCTACAAATACAGGTTTTCAATAGCTCTCAGATTTCAATCTCATGATATTTGATCGTCCTGACCTGAGGCTTTCAATAGGAAAAAGTAATTCTATTTGTTTTACTCTCGAAATGAAATCATCTCAAAAGCTCGATTCACTCGAGACAACATTGAAGTCGCCAGCTATCAAATCATCGTACGAGATTATCATTAGTGCGCGAGAAACGTGTTGAAGTGCGTCAGTGAAGGTTTATTCCGAAAACCTATCTCAAATTTCATCGTCCAAAAATAACTTGAAACCCATTAAATGTGTTTGATATTATAAGCCGCCTTCAAAATGCTCTGTTGATATATTTATCTGAACTCGTCTTGAGAAAAATGTTGGAATTCAGAGGAAAATCACAATAAACTTTTATTAATAATAGTCTACGTGACTAATTAACTCAAATGCAGATACCGAATTGAGTTATTTCAATTCTTGGAAGAACTGTCAAATCACCCTCGAAACTTAACTCTGACACAGGTTTCTCATAATGCAGGCATTGCTGAATATTGAAAAAAATCGTAACCTTATAATGTCATTATGTGTAAAAACCCTCTCGTACGAGGTTTTGTTGTTCGTCACAGAGAAAAAAAAGTTATTTACTTTAATTTGAATGTCGACAAAAGATGTAACAATTCAAATTGAATAACCAAAATATAAAAGATGCTATCTTACATACAAAATTCATTTGCAAGAATCAACCTAAGGGGTCAAAATATTGTTTGTAAAAAGTAAAGGTTGATGATCATATGTTGTGAATATGAGTTGAAACCTGATACAGTAAAATTTCAAAAATTCATCATTTGAAGGAGACACATACAAAATAGAATAAAGTATACCAAAGACGGTTTCAGACTTTTTTTACGTGGAAAATATTTGTTTGACGTCTCACGATGCTGAGATGACGGTGTCAAATTATTTTCTCAAGGAAAAAAGACAATCTGGTGACAAATTGTTCGAAATGTCTTCAAATTTTTTATCCAATTCTGATTTAGTTTCCTTTTCACTTTCTCTATTGAAAACCGTATCAACCAATGCATTCTTGGATTACACTTTTTTGACTTCTAGTTATTAAATTCTTCACTTAAGATTAACAAATCATGTCACACATATGAATATTTTCCATGTAGAAAAAAGTTAAACTTATATGTGTACATTGTTATGAAAACGGGTTAGGATTTTTACAATTCCAGTACATATTACATACATAATCGATTCTAGCTATGGTTATAAAAAGCAAATTTAATTATAATATAAATTTCAAAAACCGAGAACCAGAGATTGCCCTCCTTTAACTCAAACAAATCTCTAACAGACGATGTTTGAGACGATGCCAACAATGTTAACGAATGTTTTCAAGTCACTATGCAGAATAATTGTGGTCACAATAACTTGGAAGTCCTACATAACCTTGCTTATAATTATTTAGAACTATTTCAATCTGAGGACTCATAATTAAAGAATTTCATTGACGAAGATATTTCTATTTAATCCGTTAATTAATTAATATTTTTTTCTCAGTTCTCTCAAAATACACCAAAATAATGCCAACAAATTAAAAGCTGACTATATACTAAATATCACTTACCACTGCTTGCACTTGCCCAGGAACTAAAGCCTGACCAGGTGTAAGACCCATTTGTTGCATTAGAGCGTTCTTGAGAGCTAGGTGATTTCTTCCATTTATCAACAACTGGTCCTTGAGATGTTGTGGCGGGTGGAAATATTTGCAAGGCGGTTTCTCCCTATTACATCGACCCTGAAACGAAAGGAACATTGATTCATTCAGTCTAAATTAAATAATGATTTGGTAATAAAAAGGGAGCGACGAATAAAATCGATACAGACAGAAGTGCAGATAGCCAAGAAGACATGACTTAGACTGAACCGATGACAGGCAGAAACTCCGAAACAAGTTTCAAGTTGGACTATTCGTTTAATTAGGTTTCTCAGTATTCAATTACAAGAAAGTAATCAAAGATGAGGTGCCATGTACTTCGGATCTTCTTTCATTACTAATATTAATTTTAGAAGTTGAATTCATGTAGAGTTTGCTTCGTTCAATTGCAGATTGATGAATCTGGTTCCGTAGACAGTTTACAGAGAGAATATGTGACTCCTAATTCGGTCAGTGACATATTTGGTGGAAAGAGTGATATTACGGAGTTTTGACAAAATGGTTAAGGCTTTCGCGGCCGAGGTTTTCAGTGTCCCAATTTTTCGGGTTTGCAGGCCGTCGATTTCTGGAACTTCTTCCTGACGTTTCGCTGGCACAAGTGGCTAGATCTTTAAAAAATAGTTATTTGTGTTATCACTTCTCCTTATGAATCATTTCCTTCCGAATCAGTTACGTGAGGTGTCACAAGACATGAATAAACATTTCTGAACGTTCATTAATTTTTCCTAGGATATTCAAAAAAATATATTTCAAGTTTTAATGTATCACTTCATGTTACATTTTATTTTATAACGTATGTAGAATGACGAAATGTATATAAAAGAAAAATATAAAGGAAATGTGTACAGGCTTTCGAATTTGCAGAATCTTCCATTTATCACTTCATATCCAATTTATGAAAGAAACTATTCGATGTTAAAATAGACATTGAATGTGAATAAACTTATTGAAGATTGCAACGGTCGTTAGAGAAATATTATTTTCTTTTGTTACATCCAGTAATTTCAAAACTACTAGTTGAATAAAATAGTACCTGTAAAAATGAGTATGCCGAATAACATATTGACTCACCAACTCTAACTCAAATGTACATCAAATATGCAAGATAAACTTTCTAAAATAACAGGTCGAAATATGCTGTCAAATTCACGTTACGGCGCATATATCATGGAGAAAACATCACCCTCAATAAAAATTCTAATGAAAAATCCAATTTAATCCCGGTAAATTTATTTCTGAGTCGTGTGACACATAGTTTCGCAAACGCGTTCGCTGTGTATGATGTATGAGCCTCACATCAATCCTGTTTCTCACTTCCCCAACGACCCAAAACACCCCAAGTCCCCACGAGAACTTATTTTACTCACTCTAAGAAGACCCTCTCTTGATGGATCGGGTAGCAAAATATCACAGGTGAAATACATAGGGTTTTATCATTTTAAGCAGAGTGAGGATTGCGTAGTGACAGTCCGTGGCTTTTCAGCTCAGTATTGATTGCATTAATACTAACATAATTTATTTGAGAAATGTCTCTTATACGAGGAAAGAAAAGAAAAAATAAATCAGTCACATTTCAAAACTGAGCTCGAACATTATTTAAAAATCTGTGAATTTGAAGTTGCAAAAAATAACTTCTTGGGGTATATTTCCAATACTTACTGTTATGTCCAAAAAAAGGAGGGAGAGCATGGAAGAACTGGAAACTGTCAGTGATACAAAGTTCCATATTTGTCTCTAGAACGAAATTAAAAAATGTTGACATGCTCTGAGGATGCGATAGGGGAAGTAACATCAAATGTGAATATGTCAAAATGTGTCCCCCTGTATACTATTACTGACGTGTTTTTTTATTTTTCCTGAAAATCATTGTAATGTAATTTGTCATCCTTAAAAAAGGCTTCCCAGGGCGCTCTGGGACACCCAAGCTTTGACATCGATCCCCGACCGAGATTCGTCCTCTATACTTCTCTGCAGTAAAGCAACTTTATGGTTCAACCTAGTACCACTGATGAGAACCATGAGAATGTATTGTTTTTGAGCTCTGGTATCAACTGATTGGAACTTTATTTTAATGAGGAACATACATTAATCATTGATTCGAGAACCATAAAATTACCGGTTATACATAATTTTTGTCGAGTTCAAGTTGTAATATTATCAGCTCAGAAGAATAGATCATAGCAATTCAAAAACAATTTTTTTCTAGCTTATAATTATCAGTGTGGCCTATTGGAGAAACAAATTGATTTCATGATAACTAATTTTGCAGCTATGATGGTAGTTTCGGAAATATTTAATTTTCTTTAATATATACATCTGAATTGAAAAGAGGATATTTTTAGGAGATACTCATTTTTTGAAAGTAACTTCTGTGTATGATCTGGATATCTTCATAAAGAGTTTCTATTTTAATTACTTTCTTTCTTCCTTTTTTGGAGTTTTCCACAGTTTTTGTTTGATAATGGGGAAATCCCAAAGGTTTTTACAAATAGGAATCTGATTATGGTTTCAATAACCATGCCATGATTTCCCTGAACAAAGCAAATGGTTAACAAAAAAAGTAATTGTAGGTAGGTACTATCGATAGTTCCGAAGACAAGGCATACTTTTGACATGAATGAAAAAAGTTTTACTTTAGATATGTTTGTACTGTTCGGGTGATGAATTGAGTGATAAATTGAGAAGGCTGCAATTTCATCATTATCCAGTATTTAATAGATTGGAATTGTTAAATATCGCAGAAAAAAGCATATATTATGTATTTTATATATTATAAAACTTCCTTTTCTATTAAAAGATAATTTTTCATTGTCCATAAACCAAAAAACAGGAGTATTGCTATAAACTAGCACCTGAAATTGAACATGAATCACTATTTTATTCCAAATAGATTAGAAACTATCTGTTGGAGTTTGAAAAAGACGTCCCTTGGAACTCTCATGAAAATTCTCATTGGGTCCCATTTCAAAGGCAATCATTACTTTCATTTCGACTCACTTTGAACTTTCTTAATATCATCACACGAAATGTGTGCTTAGCCGAAACTTCCCGAGAGTTAACTTGAGCATCATTTGTCAGTCTGTGCAACATAAATCCGATACATGTTTCCAGGATCCCTGGAGGATAGAATACCCTTGGCACGAAAAGATGACAGCTAATGCCTTCCGCATAGAGAAAATTCTGACTCCGTAAGGTCTAAAGTCCCAAAAACCGATAACTTTTCAAACGATTTGGCTGGTGCAGCTTCAGCCCGCAAAATAAGAAATGATGTAGAATACGAGACTGGACAGGCAGCGAACGAGATGCCGATGATAGCTTTTGAAAGTTTTGTTAGCGGGTGAAAGCGCATTAGACCACGCCATTTTGGTTTCGTTGTTATGGAAAGGATGGAATGAGTTCGGAGAAAAGTGGTTGGGAAGGAAATTTTAACAAGTTTTGTGTACGCGTTGAAGTTCAGAAATGGGAGATACGAGTTTAGTTAAGCTGATAGCAATATTCCGAGTTTGTTGTTAGAATTCACTATTTCAAAGTATGAAAATAGTGGCAGTCCAACAAAGCTAGAAAATTTATAGGATTTATTTATCTTAAAAACAACATGTTCATATAAAAATGTATGACATGTTTGTGAAGTCAGTAAAAAGAATTATGTTTCTATTCACCCAACATTCTAGAAGTTCTTGCAGATAGTTTTTCTTTGAATACATTGATACAAAACATAAAGGACCTAACGACCTGTTTGTACGTCCACAAAAACATTATCAGGTTTATCTGGCCACCAAAACACATAAGAGTTAACGATATTTTCGATGAAATAGCATGTCTTCATCTGAAATGATTACTTATTATACGAATCCCAAAAATGTATCCTATATTTCAAAGATGACTATCATGAAAGTGAAATAACTTGTTAATGTGTTTATTTTATTTGAAAAATGGACAATTAGTATTTGTAAGTGTATTATAAGTCCAAAACATTCATCAGGTCAATACTCAATAGTTTTATACAATTCAAAATATGGCTCAACTATCGATTCTTGAGAGTTTCTGATTATTTAGATTTTATTTACGAGTTTCGAAAGACTTGTCTGTCGAAAAAATTAAATAATTATGATTATTTTTGGTAAAGACCAATGTTATTAGAATGCTCATTGAGGTACATTTCCAGTATTCTTAAGCATATCTTATTTCCCCCCATTTTGAAATAAAAAAGTACCTTTTTGTGCCTTTTTGCAGTGTTGGAAACAAGGATGTCTTATTCAGTAGTAAATTTAAACTGTTTTGAAGTAATTTGATGTGACACAAATATATTCCAACATTACTAGAGTTTTTCCCAACACCAAACCGTTATTTTAACACCTCGACACGTGTTTCGATCACCAAGTGATCATCTTCAATAGGAAGATCAATTAATTTGAGACACTTAAGACGCAGGTACCTATAGCAGGATAACATTGTATGTATATTTAGTTTGATCTTCCTCTTGAACATGATCAGCTGGTGATCGAAACACGTGTCGAGGTGTTAAAATAACGGTTTGGTGTTGGGAAAATTCTAGTAACATTTATTACTACACCAAAGGTTCCAAACAGTGCATCACAAGTATATTTCAACGTTCATTTGATCATAATTTTAGTTATACTCAGCTAATACCTGACGAAACTCCACAACACCAATAAAATTTACTGAAAATTTTCACTCAGGGAGTTAGGGATTACTGTTAGGTGGTTTGGTTTACTGCTCATGACAAACTCAAAGTGATTACAAATGAATTACCTCAAATAACTCCATAAATTGTTACTAAATAAAAACTATCCACTATATCCGTGTTAGGAATCACACGTTAAAAGGTAAGACCTCGTTAGTCCTTAGCTCGCACAAGTTTCTCAACTTTTGAGAGTTGTCGTCCGTATGGGGGCGATAGGTGATTAACGGAAAAACAGATTTAAACAGAGATATCACCTTTGGAAGTTTGGTATAGTAATTAGATAACTACAGAATTCATGGAAAATTCAAAACCAAATGAAATTATATCATATATTCCTCAGTGATTTAAAGTTTTGTGTTGATAATAATATCACCTT